CTGGCAAATCTGTGTGTTTTGTCTACATCAATTTTGAAGGACTTTGAGCTGGCCAACATGATGTGTTTTCTGGTCATAATTCTATTATTTTATGTGGTATCACCAAATTAAAACATTATTTTGATCTTTGTAACCAGTTTTTTAGAGAAATTCAGTCAAACGCTAACATTGTCATCTATGGAGTTCTAATTACAGGTTGGTATGAGCCATACAACACGCGCTAACAATCGCAAGGGATCATGGGTATATGTTTATTCGTAAACAACAACACGCTATGGCCGGTGACGACAACCCCCGCGTTAACGTAATACATGATGATGTTATCGAAACGCTAACTTACTGAAAACTATTTTTGCCCAGGGCAAGGTGAATTGATGTGCGTTGCTCTAGTGATGTGTAACGGCCAGAGAACAGCGCCACATTTATTCAGCGGGGAATAATGTCTTATTAAGTGTCCATTAACAACGAAATCCTGAGACATAAGTTATACAACCCATTGTGTATCAACACGACACTCCTAATATTTTACGTACTTTTGGCGAACCTATCACATTAAATACACCATTAACATAGTTCACCGCCGGCGAGCAGTGTACTATCGTCACTAACCAGAAATAAACGTCAATTGCAAGTGATAACATAGACCTCCTTACATTGATAGCTTCATAAATATTTTTTGTAGGTTAATTTCCACAGCGTACGTGATGGAATGTCCAACAACAAGTATAATATATATTTTTGTTCAATTATCCATGAACAAAATGAAGACGCGAATCATTTTTGCAAGAATATATTTAAGATATGAAGAAATATAATTATCATGTGAAATACCGATAAAAGTGCGAACAATAGTCGCCATAATGGTTTAGTAATATTCACCAGATAAGTGGCTTTTCCGTTAAGATTTATAACTCCGATAAAGTGGCACTTCTTTACTTCCTCAATTCTAGAAAAATATTAGGATAATCACATTTCACGAGGTTTTGACTCAATGCATTTTTCGTTTATATTTTCGTTTATATTTTAACAGACAGATTTACGTTCAGTAAATGTGTAGGAAACACCCATGATTGATATTTATGGTTTTGTGATGTTTGTTTCCCCTTTTTTTACTTCTTGTAGTTAAATTCTGTTAACGCTCTTTAAAATCTCTTACAAGTAGGGAATAGGGACAAGAACTTAATGTTTACAACCTAATTTGTGTGTTGTTGTATATCTCAGCGAACGGTTGTTCATTTGCTGAATCATTCAGATTATACGTTAGGAAGAGGAGTCTGTAAAACAAGGTATACGAGTTCGGAAATTATAGCGGGGG